AGCAGGATGTGAACCTTTAATAGTTCCTGTGGGTCTACTTCCTTTCGCTGAGGCAACCTTCTTGTTTGGGACATTAGTCATCCTCCTTCCCATTCTGACCTGTGAAATGCTTCAGTTTTTATTTATTTTTATTTGATTTTTTTTCTTTAAGATTCACAGATTTAGCTGAACTTGGGCACTGCATGAAAAAATGAAGTTTACATCGTTTATATTATGTACATAAACTAGTGATTTACATTGATTTACACATGATTGGTGCCTAATTTATTAATCAGCACACAGTATGTAAATGCACTGAAAGGAAATCAAGATTTTAAAATAAGTTTTCCATAATATCCATAAACATTTGCACTGGTGTAAATGTTAAACCTAAACCTAACGTTAACACCAGCTTCCTTGCCAAGAGGAAAGTGATGTACATTGCTGCGTGAAAACAAATTCTTTCTTGAATTTCAGTTGGCCACATTTGACAACACAGCTACATGCAAATGAGAATAGTTTACTTCTCTTCTGCTAGTATGCACATAAATGTAAACTCCATTTTGCATTTAGTGAGATGTTTACAGATATAATGTCAACTATGACGGAAAATTTACATCACTGGGGCAAATGTAGTCTTTGGAAGAGAAATATTTTAAGTATGTAAGAAAGAAGAAGGCTTCCGGAACTGAATTTACATTTCTTAATTTAGGGTCCTATCTCACTATTTTTGTGGTATGTTTCACATTTGTCTTCAAAATATTAATAATTTTCATAGGTCAGATATAGCACTGCACTTATATTTCTATAAAAAACGATAGTTATTGGTGACCAAGACTAAATCCAGGCAAATAAGTTATGAAGATGAAGAGAAAAATAAGGCCATGGTTAATCCCATGGAACTTGGTCCACAAACAAATTCCTTTTAAACAAATAATTACAAAGTGGAAAAAAAATGGGGCTCTCTATCTTTCTAAATGAAGCATAGCTCTCTTTTTTTGACCAGATTCAGTTCTTTTCTTCCTTTTAAGTTTAAACCATCATTCTAGATTTGTCTTATAATACATACAATATTGTAAATATAGCATCTGTAAAGATAAGATTAAAAAAAATACATACACATATATATTATTTTTCCACAAATAATTCAAGGCCTGCAAAAAACAAAAGGAGGGATTCTGGGAGACAAGTCAATAGAAACAGTCAAACCACAACCAACCTGGGGATGGAAAATGTGACTCTGGAGTAGTTAAGAAGCTAACAACTTGGTAGGTAATAACTCAAATAATTTCATGCTGAGGAGTTTAGTTTTTGTGTGCAAAGGAGGTAAGTCCATTTTTGGAGGAGAAACAGATTTTTGTTTCTCTCCCCAAGAACATGAAAATCACGAGTACTTTTACAAGGTCTCTATGAATAGCCCCAGTTGACTGAATATGTAGTAAAAAATGCCCATGGCAAGGGAGAAGTCTGTCTGACTTGGAAGAGAAGGCAAAGGTCAATAGGACATTTCTTCCCCATGAGAAAGCACAATGTTTCCCCTAAGCCTTAGTTCTTTTAAGGGCAGAGGGATTTGATGTCTCAAAACAAGTAAGACTTTCCTCCAACAAGGCAACACCTTCTGATGAACGATTGCACAGAGGATATAATTCTGCAGTTGTAAAACCTAGGATAGTTCTCATTCTTCAGGAAGTGCCCTTGGTCAAGGTCATTTCTGCATTTGTTAACTGAAGGTCGGATCTAAGGATTTTAAGAATGGTGGAGTGTCGTTTTGCATACAAAGGACATGAAAGATATTAGTCATTCAGATTAATTGATGAATTTCACTCCTCTCATGGTATTGTTTTCAACCAGTTGGTTCTTTTCAGTGCAGGGTTTCAAGTTTTGACTACCAACGGACAAGATTCTTGAAGGGATTTATAGCAATATGATGAACTAAATTCCAAGAAGTCCCACGTTCAGACTCAATTTCTTGGTGTCAGTCCTCTGGCTCCTGCCTTTTTTCTGACCTTCCTCCAAACTATGTTCTCCTCCATTCTTCACATTGCTTAGAGACATTCTCAAACCTAGGAGATTTCTGGGGCCAATGTTTGCTCTGAAACAGGAGCCAGGACAAATGTTTTTAAATTCCCAGATCCTGCCAGAGATATATGCAAACACCACAATATTCAATAAATGTTTAATTATGTTTAATATATGTTCCATTATATTAAAACTCAGGGAACAAATGGTGCTGACAAGGCAGACATTCCTTTCAGTGGAGAATCTCCTTCCATAAAACCAAGACCTTGTCCTTATGATAGGGTGGAGACAATAAGAAATCTAGGTGTATGATTAAAATGTGTCACATGCCACAAGGATCTGTTCCTGAAACTGATACTAAACTGAACTCCTACTACTTTTCTTTTCTTATATATCTTTAAATTAGCGTGAGTTCCTCTTAAGCTTCCACTTAGGGATGTGACTGGCTCTTCAATATATGGGGAACATTTATCATCAAGGATGATAAACTTATATTCCTGTACTAAGACCAAAATGTTAGAGAAATCCCCGATTGTCAATAAATTGATGCTGGATAGGAATATGGCTCACCTTCCCTATATTTTAGTAGCTACTTTCTTGGATAAGAATTTCTGTCCTATGCCAGGATCTGCCACAAATACTCTTATCCATCCTCAAGCCCAATTTGTTTGCCCTTCTGTTTCATGTCTAAGCGGCAAAATCACAAAAGAAGGCTGGTAATAAGCTTTCTAAAACAAACAATAGAATCCCCTAGAACAGATTTAAAATGTTGCTCATCAAAGAGATCATTACCTTCAAAGACAAGGCTCATTGCCAAGAGCCTTTAATTAATAAATTCTATCAGAAATTTCAAATCCTCCCCTTTCTTTCCTTCCCTCTTTCCTGTCTCCTCTCTTTGCCTCTCCCTTCCTCCCTTCCTTTCTCTTTCTCTTCCTTTTTCTATTCGCAGTTAGGAAGTTTCCTGTTTTATAACATGTGACAGCTATTTTTCAGGTTCCAAAACTAGGTGAGGTACCATATTTGGCTTTTCTGAAATACATTCAGTTATGACCTCAGCAATAATCTTCTGTCTTTTCATAAGTTGAGCCACTTCCAATGCCTCCTATAGTCTAAGCGAAAGCAATGGTTGGTTTCCTGACAAAGATATTTACAGCCAGCTCTCTCTGCAAACCTTTCCTAAGAACATCCCGGTGCTGCAGTGATACCAAACGTTGTGGTATGCATACAATTTCTGCCTAAATTATTACAAGTTTCCCAGATCTTTTGATTAAGGAACTAACATTTCAGATGACTCTTGCTGATGTAAACTCAGACATCATATCCCGCATAGTATCTTTCAGGAACTAGAAGCCAAAAGTGAGCAGGGAAGGTGGAATATATCCCAGTGGCCTGGCCTAGGATAATGATGAACCAGTAGGAACAATGGTACTGCAAACATTACCAGTGGGGCAGAAGGGAGATCGTGCAAGCCACCAAGTAAAGTATTAGCTTGCAACATCAGGACAAAAATCTGCAAAGGAGCACAAGGAATGGATTCTTTCTTGTTATGGTCAATGCTCTGTACAGAGCTCTGCCCACATCTCCGTAAGATGAGTAGGGATGTGGGCATCTGTCTACTTTTCATGCCTTGCTCACTCTCCATATAGGAAACAATCTCTGCTCAGGGGAATCCATGGGCCAAATGCAGTGTTAGGTGAAGCTCAGGGAGGGGGCAAAACAGAGCTGCTTAGGATCTCCATGTGGCTCATCATCCTTTCATTGGGAGTTAACACTTGGAGACCTTTCCGCTTCTTGGGATTTACTCAACACATGCTACTCACTTCTGCAGCAAAGCAGGCCCAAGCCTGCAAAAAGCCAGGAAATATATGAATTCCTCAGACTCATGAAACAAGAGTGAAATCAGAAACCTTCTCTCCTAGGTCACCTCATTGACGTCACTGATTCTTTCTACTGTTTGCTCACCCCATCAATAGTAGGCACTTTCATTTACAGTGATATTCTGAGTGACTCTCGACTGGGTTCTGATGATTAGACTAGGAGGAATATGAGGTTCTGCCCTTAAAAGGGGCACAGCTTGGTGTGAATACACACTGATGTCATGTGACAGCCATGGAGGGGTGCTGGGGGGCTCTGCTCCATGCCTCCTTCTCCACCATGTCCCCCAGCAACTTGTCACAGCCGCGTCTCACAATTACAATGCGGGACAGTATCTACAGCACAATGAGTCTATGTACACATGGACCATTCCCTTGGCATGCTTTAGAGAGAGACACACACGCGCACATACTTGTATACCCACGTGAGAGCGAGAGGCTTGAGCACGCACGCACGGTGGAGAAAATTAAAATGGCACTTCCTAGCATTTGCGGCATGACTAGTGCTGGGGGGGTGCTGTGAAGAGAAGCAGCAGCCAGGGGGTTTGGGGGAGGGAATAAAACGGAGTATCTGGGATGGATGTGGAGGACATAGAACACACTGAAGGGGGAGGAAATGGTCTTAAAAGTTGGGGAGATAGTGGAGGCAGGAAAGCCAGATAAAGGCTCAACACGGATTCCAGCATGGATTCCACTGATAGTCTGAAATGGCTACAAGTCAGCTCAAATGAAAAACAGAATAAAAAGATGATGGAAATATAGACACCAAAGGCAAGACCTTAGTTTTTCTTTCCCCACAGATGAAAAAGAATGAAGGAAGGATAAAGTGTGTGTGTGTGTGTGGGGGGGGGGCGGTTAACATCCATCTGATACTTCTTCACTTGTCTTATTTTTACAACATCCGGGTGTCCTTAGCATGATGTGGTCTTTATATAGAATACATTTGCAACGATATACACATATCCTTGTAGAACTTTTCCCACCCTGATTTACTGAAATTTTTATTGATGGACTTAAAATGGTTTTAAATATATTTTCTTCTTCGTTTTCTTATTTCCCCCTCCATTTATAAACACACAAAGTTGTGAAATAAACAGTCTCCCCCCATCTTGCTCTCTCTCTCTCTCTCTCTCTCTGTATCCTGTGTAACGCATTTTTGTGTGTTTTTTAAATTATTTTAAAATTTTTATTCTATTAACATTTGCTGAGAAGGCAGAGCAGAGATGCTGCCAGCAGCCACAGTGGTACGGCCAGACTGATGGATCCATTTATTCCTCTCACCGACCCAGGCCCTGCAGTGCAAAAGAGAAAGAAAAGAGAAGTTACATTCAGCCCGCTCTATGTCACAGCTGACTGCTGACAGTATCAGAGGTAAGAATGGCTGCGCCTCAAAGTCAGTGCTTGTGTACAGCCCAGGAAGGGCTCACAGTCTTTCCTAAATCCTTCTCCTTGAGTTCTAAGTATCTCAAGGGGTATCAGTGGTTGAAATACATTTGAATACAAACTACTCTTGCTGGAGAAGGCTATCGCTGATGTGTCTGCTGGTGCAGCGGGCTCCTCTTCACCCAACCTCTTCTTGCATGCTGTGCCCTGCATAGCACTGTGATGCCAGAACTCATTAAGATTCCAAGCACTGGTGAGGTCCTTCAGCAGCCAGACACGGGCTCCTCCAGCTGATTCATCACAGGATCTCCATCAATAAAACATAGAGCCAATCCGAAACTCTCATTTCTCAGGGGGAAGCAGTAATTATTTATTTGTTAATGGGGAAGGGAACTGTTTCCAAGGAACATTTATGGCTGGATGGCACCTTAGCTGTATGCTAGAAGATAAGTCAACTCCTTGTAGAGTCTTAAGAGGTTGCAGGAGATCATCTAGTCCAAATTCTTCATGTGACACTTTAAAAACTCAAAAGCAAAAGCAACCACAAAACCCACCACCACCACCAGCAGCAAACCTAGAAAGGTAGAGAGGCAAGTCCAAACCAGAAGCAGAACTGAGATTTGAACGTGCCCAGAATTTCACCCTGGAATGGCAGTCTATGTTGTTTCCCACTGTCACCCGAATTTTCCCAACATGGATACGATTTTGGGGACGTGGGTCTGGATCTAAGAGGGAGATGGGAATGGAGAGGAAAGTGGAGAAGGGATTTGTGTAGACAGAGAGAAGAGAATTGGGGCAGAAAATGTGGGTCCCATGAGCTTGTCCCCTATGCTTTGTTTGCTCCATTTTCTCCTTTTGTATAGTTCTGTTTGTATAGATCCATTACAAGAAGAAAATCTCGGTATTTTTCACACAGAGATTTTTAGATTTAAGGTTGTATGCTTAGACAATGATGTTCAAAAGAGAAATCAGCGTGACTAATTATGGGTCACTTTGCAGTTCTGAGGTCACATATGCAGATCAGTGTGTGTGAATGAAGGTGCATGTGAGTGTGCTGTGTGCCCATGCGTGTTTAAACCTATGATGGTTTTCAAGTGCAATAGTGGTGTGCACATGTTTCCAAAATTGTCTACAACTTTATCAGATCAGATGTAAGATAACAGGGAAAATGTTGAATTCAAGAATGTTCTAATCTGTGTTCTATATAAATAATAGCAACAACATCAACTGAACAAAACCAACAATTACACAGCACTTGTTACCAGGTACTGTCAGAAATGCTCTACCAATCTAAGCATATAACCATGCTACGAGGTAGGTATTATAATGGACCCTTTTCCACAGTGACATAATAAGAGGCACAGAGAGGTTAAATCTACGGCACAAATTCACACAGCTGGTGAGCAGAGGAGCTGAGGCTTTTACCCGGGCAGCTGGCTCCTGTCTTTGCCTATCACCACTACAGAGTGGTTACACGGGGAAGGAGTGCCAGTGAGTCTCCTGTCAAATCAATTTTGGGTTCGTTTAAAACAAGAGCCAGAACGAACAAAACAACACGGAGGCAACCATTATCTTGGAACAAGTGATTTTCAATAGAATATTTTTGACTAGAATGTTTTCTTGAGAATATTAAAAACATTACTTAATATAAAAATATGAAGATATACAAACTGTGAACAGCATAGTTATAAAGTAAGTATAAAATAAGTATAAAATATAAAGTATAAAACATAGTATAAAATAAGCTTTATTATCTGGAAAGCTATGGAAATGCAGAGTAAACAATTTAAATATTCAATCAGTCAATTCTGCAGTTTTCTGAATGGCTGTAGGATCATATTAATAAAAGACACTTTTGCTACCTTCATGTTTTTCATGAGGAATTTAGGCTCAAGAAGATTATGTGTGTGCATAAAGTACCTGATGGTAATTGTTGCCCGGGCACTGGAATACAAACATTTGGAGTCTCAGCTCAATGCCTTTCCTTAACCCACCCTCCATGCCCTTCACCACCACCATTTTTGGCCTTTGTGACCTTTAAGCTCTCTCAGTGGGCACTCTCCAGGCCTTCTGGCCAGATGGCAATGGATTTCCCCATCATTTTAATTCCTCTGTATGCTTTAAATGGCATGAACTCTATGGCACATTTGTTTGGATTAGTGTTGTCAGTACAGCTTCCAAAACAGAGAAAGACTATACACAAATTGAGGCCATACAGGACTAAACAAAAATGATTTTTGTTTTGCCTTAGGGATAGGGTGAAACAGAAGGATTTTACAAAGAGTTTGATTTTGCTTATTTCCTTAATCTCATTTTTAGTGCTGCGACAGGCTAGATTATCTCTCAGACATCTTGGAGTTGAGTAGTAACTGGGGAAGTCTAAAAACCCTAGTCTTAACACTTTATTTGAAGGGCAGTAAATATTTGAGAAAGCAAAAATTCCATCATTGAAAAACATGATATATACATATATGGACCTAAATAAACATGGTCACATATAACATACTTGCTAATGTATGTACACACATATATATGCGGATACAAAGAGAAGTATATATGTTATGTGCGTACTCATATATATACATATGATATAATGTACACGTGTATTATTGGTCTTTTAATACATGTAATTGAGAATTGGCTGTTACTTTCACATGTTAGTCTATGATATATATAGGAATCCCAGTATGACTGTGTTAATAATCTTTAATTTTATCCTTAGTAGAATTATTATTATATATTTGAAATGCATTTTGTGGATCTATTAAAGATATCTTCATCTCTATCAATGATTATTTATTAAGTGCTCTCATATAACTGTTTGATGTGCTTATATGACATGCTCTTTTCATAATTGGTTTTGAGAGTAAATAAATAGCTTGAAAAAAATGCACGGGTAAATGAATGAGAGTTGGAGAACCATCACAAGTGTGTATGCAATTATAGATATATATGACTGCATAGGAGACTACTTCAGTTAATGGCTATTTCAGGGAAGAATAATCAGCAAAATCATTAATTACATTTTAGTTCATAGTTATGAAATTTCTGCTTATTTGTGAAAATGCAAATGATAAATCTTATTTCCCACACCAGATGGCCAGGCTCAGCAAGTGCTTTTATATACTGACAGATATAATGAAAGCAAGAGTCTGTAAACATAAATTAGCCTTAAGAATAGATGAGCAAATAGAACCACAATTCAAAAATTGCTACATGTTTTTCATACAACAGACAAAAATCATGTCTTGGCAGTTAGGCACATTCTATATGTGTTTATGTATGTGTGCATACACTTATATGTGTGGTATCTCATAACCATGCAATAAATGGTAGCATCATCATTATTGCTATTAACTATAGAAGGTTGGATTACAGAAAGGCATGAAATACCTCTGAACCAAAGGTATTGGTTTGTGAATTGGGTCAAGGCTTTTAAAGTTTGACCTGATGGGGCAAAATTCAGCTATAGCAAGATTGAGAATCTTGAGTCAACACACCAGGTCAAGGTTCTTGACCCCAGGACAGGATGATAAGTGAGACTCTGTATCAGCGTGAATGCTGGACTGCACTTTGTCACAACAATGTTTTTAAAAGGGAATTTGTGATTAAGGACAAGGTTGATAAAACATCCTGAAATTGCAGGATATGTGGATTTTTGGCAAGTCTCTATGATACAGATCTGATGCAGGATACTCTGCCAATTGATTTGTCTTTCAGTACAATCTCAAAGAAAGTACAAGATGATTTTCCAACACCTGCTTTAGAGGGCATACACTTGGAGATGCTTTATGATTCAAATCTAGCCAGTGCATTTCTGTTGCTTCTCCTGAGTACTTAGGGCTCATTTTCCTGAATGTAGGACTAGATTTATTCAAAATAATCATTCTTTAAAAATTAATCATTAATCACAGCCTCAGTGATCCTTGGGCATTCTTTTCAGCCACTAAGGCATCAAGGTCTATAACGATTTTATTCCTGTTTTCAGCCACAAAAGAAAACAAAGAAGACTAGGTGAGTTTAAGTTTGAATTCTACTTAGAATTATTAAGGGCTGACCGAGTGAGAATAAAACAAAAACTCAAACAAAATACAAGACAACTGTTAAGCAAAGGAGAAAAATTATCTACACCTCTCTTAGATATTATCCGGATATGCAGGCTAAGGCACTTCCCCGTCCTGGGAAGCCATGTTTAAAGGAAAGCCTGATAAGATTGACTCTGGCGCCACCTGCTCTCCACGTTCAGCCAGTACAGCTTCCTCTGGGTGAATGAATTGGGGGATTAAAGTTTATAATCTCCAGGCTGGAGACTTGAAGAGGGGATATATTGATGTTTAATTTGAACAGTGTACCTTAGAATTAAATTTGGGCTTCACCTACAAGTGAGTCTTGGATAAGCCCGAAGTATTTTCACAGTAACGTCCATCACATCTTTTCCATCACAACAGCATCAAATATTTTGGCATGCAAAATTTTGAAATTTTAGGCTAATGCTTAGAATCCCTTTGGGTGACACTAGGAATTTATCTCAAAGGTCTTTGAAATAAAACCCTATGCCCAATTTCTCCATCCATACCAGCCCCCTGAAGAATCATATGTTCATTCCATTAACACTAACCACTTAAAATTCAAATGTAATTGATAATCATGGCATTGGGGAAAGAATAAGGTCTGAAGGGGACAGGAATTTACACTTTCTTGCACCAAATGATCTTGGTACAATGTATGTACTTCTGATGTCCTCTTCCCTGCTGCCTTCTGTGAAGATTTGTTAGAGCTGGCCATACACAAGGTGCTGAACCTTTCCTGGGAGTAAGCAACAAAGGCTTCATAATTTTTAATGTTTATTTATTTTTGAGAGAGAGAGAGAGAGAGAGACAGAGACAGAGAGAGAGAGACAGAGAGACAGAGAGACAGAGTGTGAGCAGGGGAGGGGCAGAGAGAGAGGGAGACACAGAATCCAAAGCAGCCTCTGGATCTGAGCTGTCAGCACAGAGCCCAATTCAGGGCTCGAACTCACAAACCATGAGATCATGACCTGAGCCAAAGTCAGACACTCAGCTGACTGAGCCACTCAGGTTCCCCAAAGGGCCCATAATTTCTGTGGCTGTTGGTCACTAGTAGGGTCTAAGTCCCACAATAATAGGTTTTCACTATTAAGAAGGACCTTGGCTATCTCATAGCCTTTGAGACTCAGAGAAGAAAACATTTTCAGGTGAGACAATTACCAATTCAAGTGAGTGGTCATGAGAACTTAAGAAGGGTAATGTCTGGCCATGCAGCTTTCTCTGTGACTCTGGTCTGGGGATAGACTCTGTAAGGATTTCTGTTGGATTTCTAAGGAGGGTGCCTCAGAATTGGTAATTGTTTGCATTTCATGAAGCTTTAACTTGATTGCATTGTCTTTGTAGGGAGACCTGGGTGATTTTTGTGCCACGAGGCTGGCTGATGGAGGCATGTGGAGTAGTTCCTGGGAGACCGCAGCAGACTGGGTGTACTGAAGAAAGGGGAGGTTATCTGAAGACCTGGGAGAACACTGAGTCAGGAGAGAATATTAAGTGTTCAAGAGCTTCATATTAGGAAACACTACTCTATTTCCTTTAGCAATGTATCCATTTTAATAGGCAACAAGAGACAGTAAAGTAGGCTCTATATTTTTTCTGAGAGCCCAGTCATTGGACAGTGAACATTGCCAAAAGTGCAGATCTGCAAGAATTAACCACGGCCACACATGGAAAGTGGGAGAGGGAATAACTTGTTCAGTTCCAGAGATTTAAAAATAAATAGCTATCAAGAGCAATGTAGGGGTTATGGGCTTTTTGTGAACGAGAAAGTTTGCAATTTGGGAAACATAGTGGCAAATACGTTATGAAAATTATTATCACAAACTATTGAGATGAAATGAACTCAAGTGTATAAGACCCCAATATATGGCTATGAAATCTTAATTTTAACATATAGAAGATATTCTTTAACATATAGAAATAAGAGCCATACCTTTTTGCTTGAAGTGCACGGTGGTGCCAATTTCTAAAAAAGAAACATTTAACAAAACAAAAAACAGATAAAAAATTTTTTTTTTTTATCAACTGAAAATAAGCACAAAGGTAATCTGGTACTCTCCACTGAAAGGAGAATGGGACAAAAGGTAGAAGGAACATTCTAATAGAAACACATACTGGTAGAGATTGAAAGAAAGGCTCATGGAAAGAGATTGTTTTGTTGGAACAAACGTGCAGTCGGAGGTGGCAAAAACAATTTCCAACTACAAATATTTGATGTTACATGTTATGTGTATAGACAAGTACAAGAACTCTGAGAATGGCAGGTAAAAGCACTCTTGACTGCAATGTAATGGAATGATGGAATGTGTCTAGCCTCCGATCCCATCCTGGCATTTTGTCCCTGGTTGGTTCCTCTCAGGCCAATCGACCTTCATATTTTTCTTCTAACTAAATCCATTCCAACTTTAGAACTTGTGCACATGCTGTTTCTTCTGCTTGGAATGTTTCTCCCCCAGATCTCTGAATGGCCCAGGCAGTCACTTCATTCAGATTTCTGCTGAAATGACCCAACTCGGGAAGGACTTCTCCCATCACCTTATCAAAATGGTACCTTCTGTCACTTTCCATTCTTTTACCCTGATTTATTAATGTTATTAACACTTATCCCTACTTGGTATCATTGTATACATTTCCTTATTTGCTTGGTTAGAGTTTATCTCCTCCGCTAGAATATATGTTCCATGAAGGCAGAAGCAGTGTATGTCTTGTCAATTATTGTATCCCTGTGCCTGCATTAGAGTCTGACATTCAGTATGTGTGCAATAAATACTTGTTGAATGTGTAAATATCAGGGTTGGAAGAGCTCATACAAGTCAAATACTTGAATTCCCTTTTGACTATCTTTATCAACTAAACTAGAATACTATTTGATCTTTAGAAGTAAATATGGAAAATTTCCATAGGATACCACGTTGACTCACAGGACCAACTGAATGGTTAATTAGATACAGGAGTCCAAACCATGGCTGTGGGATATGGATTGTCTTCTCTGAAGATCAGGATGTAGCCCTGCACCCCTCAATGACATGCTTTCATGAAGGAAATAAACTGACTGAACTCTGAAGCTAAAGAGAGCCTTTTGAACTGGACATCCATTTACCTCATTTTCCTGCTTAAAACTTTTTCATGCTTTCTTGTGTCTTCCAGGATAAGGACCCAAATCCTTAGCGTGGCACCTAGGACTCTACCCCTTCATCTCTCCAGCCTCATCAATGTCTGTCATCTCTGCATCCTAGCCCACATGCCTTCCTTCATTCTCCAGGGTATAATGTTTTTTTCTGTTGTAGGGCTGATGGCCCAATGTTATCACTGCTAGAAATCCCACTTCTCCTTTAGAATTCATTTATAACTTCCACAGGGAAGGCTTCCTTAGTCCCCTTAGTAAAATTCAGTCCCTTTTTTTATAAGCTCTGCTCTCCTTCATAACACTCATCTCAGTTTTAATTTTAAATACATTTGTCTGAGGTTTTGAGTAATGCTTGTCTTCATTACTGGACTGTGAGTTCTATGGAGCAGGGGCTGTCTCTGCTACTGTCCCTTGTTGTAGTTTAGCCAATGCATGAAGGCACTCTGCATGCACAATGGGCCAAAACAGATTTAGAATTACTGAAATATGAGAAAAATAAATATATGCCAGGCATCCTCCTAACAGAGTCTCTGTTAAAACAACAGAGAGTCTGAGTAGCTAAATTATTACCCAATTTAACACAAAGGGGTCAGAACTTTAGAATTAGGTCTTCACAGTTCCTTGGGGTTCAGTGCAGTCTATTTCCTTCACAGATTTTCCATTTGTTTATCCAAAGGAGGTCATAAGGAGAAGTCCTCAAACAGCATACTGTTTTCTGGTTTTCTTATGATGGCTATAAGAAGGGCACAATTTTCCTAGAGTCTGAGATCTTGAAAATGTTTGGCTACAATTCAGCATTAGTGAAACTAGTATAAGCCAGGCTGTTCCTAACAGCAAGCTGTGTCTACGTGTAAGAACGGCTTTCCTAAACTCGTCAGATGTGGGTGGAGGGATCCTAGTGTGAATGTTGTTTTGAATTATGATCGCTGGTGGACCTCCAGATGTACTTCTGAAGATGCTCAAAGCTATTGGCACCTGTCTTTCTGTCTTTGAAGAGTTAGTCTATTACTTGCACAAGTAATTGAAGTCTTCTGTATGGAAGCCCATACAGAAGGATGTAGAGAGAATTCTGCCCCTCTCCTAGCAGAATCCAGGAACTGTTGTCATTTTTACTCCAGAAGTGAAGCTAGATTTCATCAAGATATTAAGACAGTAGTCTCTACCTGTTGACCACACTGATCATCTGACCACTGATGTTTCAATTGTGTATTAAACATACTGCCACTAATTTTTCTAATATTCTTTGAAATAAATGCTTTGGCTTAAAAATGGTTGAAGAGGCACTGTAGAGAATGTACTTAATATAATGTGAGAAAACTGAGGCCCAGAGAGGCTAATTGGTTACCCAGGCTCACACAGAACAGAGCTGAGACTGAAATCCAGGGCTCCCACTTCTCCAGCCTTAACCCTGTCCCTTATTCTACAATTTCCTTCTGGTACTTTTGTGAAGGCAAGGCTATGTACCTATACAGCCTATATAACTCTAGGTTTATCATAGGATATTTACATGACTCACTCCCGACTGGGGACAGTTTGTCTCTGCTCTTGTGCAGAGTGAACTTCCCTTCTTTCTTTGGTCAAGCCTTCTAGTTTCTCATTCTTTAGAATTTGTAAGTATGCTGCAAGGTTATAGAGTGATTGCTTCTTGCCCAAAGAGGCCTAGATCCCTAATGGAGCCATCTTTATATAAAGAACACTTGGTTCCCCCTGCTCTATCCCTGATCCACAGGCCTTCTGGGATAATTCCAAGCAACTGTTCAGGAGCCTGGGTGGGCAGGAAGACCAACAGTCCTGCTCAAGCTAGAAAATATCACTAAACCTCTCTGTGCCTCAGTTTCATTATCTGTAAAATAAATTTAATTAACATGCTCCTTATAAATTTGTGCTATGGGTTAGATAAATTAATTATCATACTGTACTTGGAATGCTGCCAGATACATAGTAAGAGTTATTGTTATCAGATTTGTGGTAAAATCCTTTCTAGGGAGGACTTTCAGTGAAAGTTTGGTGGAAAAGAGAAAAATATATCTTAACAAGTAGGCCATGCCAGTGCAGATCCAAAGAACAACAACAAAAGTCTACTGCACCAATACGGATGAACAAAACATTAACAGGTGTTAGCACACTGCAGTGATAGGGAAGCAGAATGACTAGGCAGCGTGTTGGTCTGGAGAACTCCGGCAATATGCCTGGTTAACCAGTCAGTGACTCAGGCCTGGATAAGAGTCTACATGTCCTAAATATTTCTCTTAGGGATCAGAAACTCCCCTACTAATTGAAAAGAGTTATTAAAAGAAGGATTTGAAAACGTTGCTCCAATATTATACTCTATGAAGAAAAGCTCACAAAAAATCAGATAAAAAATATGCATTTGCTTGAAACACCTTTAAAAAGCAAACCAGCTTACCAATTAAATTTTAGGAAGCACTCCCTATTGCAATAGATAAACTGGTTTGTGAAATGCTAATGATCTTAAGACTTGGAATTCCATTTATCTTTAGGAAAAGAGAACAGAGTGCTTATTCTGTACTATTATTTCCTATTTATCCTCTTCTGTTGGAATAGAACCTTCCTTTTTGAGGAGCAAAACCCTGCACGTTTTGAGCCTGGCACTTTGAAATCCTGGTTGTGTGCTGCCATCTTGTGGTAATATAAAGACATATTCCTATGTTCTGCCTAAAGGAATTGCCTTTGTCCACCAGGTGGCAGTAGTGGGAAAAAATAAAAACTTTTTATCACTCAGAGCCAGCATGAAAGGTTACATTTCAAAAAGGAGTATTTCTTATTCTTACGGAAGAGAAAAAAAAAATATTTTTTTTTGTTGTCCTTAACAACTGAAAATGATTCTTCTTTTTGTAGTGCTAAGGTGATTCCAAATTCTTAAGTAAAACTGCCTTGGGCATATTATTTCTGTAGGGATTCCCTGGACACACTCATTAGAATACACTTGAAACCTATGATTTTTATACCTTTCAGGAAAACATCTTACCACACATCGACCCTGCTTTAGCAAATACACTTAACAAGTAAGCGTGACAACGCAGGTACAAAGAATAAAATAAAAAGATAAATCTACTGCAGCAATACAATGGACAAAACTTTGGGGGAGTTTAGTACAGAGAAAGTTCTAGAATTCTCTGGAAGCATTATTGCTACATGCTTAGACTTTAGCTCTGGCTGATGGAGTACAAGGAGACCGTGGGGGGAAAGAATTTAATACTAGAGAAGGCAAGTGTTATGACACATTTATTTATGCTCATCCGTCTTTGACTTGTAATTTTCAGATTTTTAAAAAGTTTATTTATTTATTTTGAGAGAAAGAAAGAGAGATTGAGCAGGGGAAGGGCAGAGACAGAGGGAGAGAGAGAATCCCAAGCAGTCTGTGTGCTGACAGTGCAGAGGCCAACATAGGACTTGAACTCACGTGGGGCTTGAACTCAGGAACCCTGAGTTCATGAGCTGAAACCAAGTCTGACACTTAACCAACTGAGCCATCCAGATGCCCCTAACTTTACACCTAGCCATGTTAGACAAGCCTGCAACATTGGAAAGAGCTGATTCAGTCTCTCTAATTGGCATAGACCATGTCTTCCTTGTTTACTACTGTAGTCTCAGCTCACTATTTCTCTAGCATGGAGTAAGCGTCCAACAGATTTGCTGAATAAATGCCCATGCATAAATGAATGGATAGATGAATGAACAAATGAATGAGTGATTCAATCAATTAATACCTGAAGATCTATCCTAGCTGGGATTCTAGGTAAAGGAAGATTCTATTCTGCTTTAGGAACCATCATGCCCTAGTGGCAAGGCAAAATTATTGCTGAGAATTCAGGCAT